TTTTTATGTTCTGTATTGGTTTGTTTGTTGTTTACAGATTTGGGGAAAATGTCTGTTATATGTCTCTTGAGCTTCTTTATTTTTCATCTAATTCCTATCTTAGTAAGAAAACAGAAGAAGCTGTTTATTGACTGATTTTATCACAGAGCTTCTCTTGAAATTATTTAATATATAACTATTATTTCTCCGTGTAAAATGACAGAAAATAAGACTTATTGAATTAAATGGAATATATTTCTGAAAAGATGTGTTTTGGCTCTTTCATTGTTATACTATTATCCTTCTAAATTCTCAAACTGTGTTAATCTTACAAAATGTTACCCAAATAAAACGCAGAATGTTCCATCGCTAACGTCTTTAAATCTTTCTATTGTCTGCTATATGTTATCTGAATAAATTGCAGCTGAAATATTGGCTTTATCTGCCAAAAAAGTGCGTTTCTGCTGACAGTGCAGTTATATCACTGACTTTTTCAAAGTTAGTCCTCAACTGATCCTCAGATGAACCGAATACAGCAAACATTACAGAAATGATAACATAAGTGTCTTCTTTCTGACAGAAAAATACTTTATAAGTTAAATATGAATACTGTATGCCTGTAAGGTGATTACTTCACTTCTCTTTCATGCAGGGCAAAGCAGGATTAGGCTGATTACAAAAGAAAATTGTGTTCTTTAAGAAAAGGAAAAAAAAACATTTTTTTTCCATTTTAAATGTATTCCATTAATTTATTCATGATGAATAAACTATTTGATTACATGAACATTGTTTTCTGGAAAGAACATTACCAAATATCATTTTTGGTTTACACAGGAAATTTAAGGTTCTCATGAAGTCTGCCCACTAGAAGAAAATGTGACCACATACCAGCAGTCTTTTCACCACAACTTGTTTTTCTCTTGTTATTTTTCTGGTTTCTTCACCCATAAGCCAAAGCCTCAGAGTCTGAAACTCAAAAGTTGTTTTTTAATTGGCCTAATTTAAAAGGAGGAAATATCAAATCCAATTATTCTGTTCTCTTGGGAAGGGTTGCAAAAACTAGGAGAAGTCCAGTGAAGGGACAGTGCAGCCCACACCCGACCCCACCCCCAATTTCCCCCTCACTCTTGTGGACAGTGAGTGCATTTCTCTTTCTCTTCCTGTCTTCCTGCACTCACCTATTATATACAGTGTGCAAAAAGACTGATGGCTTACAGTTGGATAAAGAGAGAAACCCCATCCTAAATTCAAAGCCAATTTTGAAACATACCCAGGTTCCATTCTCCTCACCAGTATGCTTTGTCCAAATATTCTTGCAGATGCAGATACTACATGGAAGAATAAAAAGAATAGAGGACACACAACTCCAGGATTTTCATATGCTGAAACTGTTGTGTTTCACCAGCAGTGCTGCTGAATTTAGAAAAGACCAGTAGCTGATGAGTGATAAATATTAATTTTGGACATCTACCACCATTAATTTAAATGGAATCTCTTCTTAGTTATCTTTCAAAACTACTCTCACTGTATGCTTTTCTTCCCTTTGCTCTGAACCCAAGTAACAGGAGTAGCTGCCTTTAAAGCAAATCTTTGTCCAACAGTGGACAATTTTATGTTACCTGATTAGTTTGTAAAGATGATAAACAATTATCTAACATGCTGATTAAAAATCTGCTGATCTTATTATCATCTCATCTACCCAAATGTTCATTGTCTTCAAATACAAGTTGAGGGGCTGTGATTGTTGCTTTTGAAGGCAAAACATTGATAGAAGCAAAATATAGGCCTTTTAAATACTTGCACAGAATTCAAGGTAGCACCTCATCCTTGTAGCCTCTGAGCACACTTGCAAGTAGGAGCAAGCCCACATCTGCAAAGGGGAGAGTGACTTGTGTATATGAGTACTGCATGGATTTCTGCAGCAATCACCAGAGGTCGCACCTCTCACAGTTTTGGAGCTCCATGCAAACAACTGAAAATTTAGGGAGAGATGGAAGATCTTGGAGAAAATTGAATTGAGTAGGTAATGCCCAGGGAAGTCCTTCCTCCCTCTTAAATAATTATCAGTTCATTTGGGCAAATGGAAAAATGAAACTAGTTTGGTTTTGTATCTTTCTTCCTCATGGATCCTGAAGAACCTATTTCTTGGTTCATATTTTTTTTTCAATCTCAATACCTCATATATAGGTATTTTTGCAGTGTCTAAGCTGCGCCTGTGTGTCCTCCTATTAAGCCTTGATCTTTGATTGCAAGCAAGGATAAACTGAAACTGTAATCCTATGCCAACTTAACTGATGGGCAGTGATAGAGATCTGTTACCTAAATATCACTGTAATCAATCAGCACAGCAATTTTAGAGGATGCTAGCAAGGTACCAATGCAAGTCAGCGTATGTAAGACAACGGCAGATAAAAACTTTGCCTTGCAAATGTAGACTCTGGTGTTTGATTTCTGACTGCCAATTTGGACATCTTTCAGAATCAACCCACAAGCAAGTATAAAATAAACTCCCCATTCCACTGTAAGAGCAGGAACAAGTGAGAAATCAGAAGAAGTTGATTTATTTCATCCTTCCTATTGGACAGATGACTGAATTTACTAGCGTGCAACCATATAACGCATATAAATACTTAAATATCTTCATCGGACACATTTAACTCTGTAGGATATGATTTGTTTTATTTTTGTTTGAGAGAGGGGCAGAACCCCCACATCCATTTGGCGACCTTTCAGCAACTCAGTCTAAAAACTCTGAAACCAAATCTATCTAGGGACTAGTCTTGCTAGCTAGACTGCAGAAGAGCGGAGGTGCTCTGAAGAAAACATTGCCCAAGGTAATCTCACCTGGGTGGTTTGTCAAAGCCCGATTACCTTTCCTTCTCTCAGTTCACTGGACTGTAGAATGTCTGAAGATCCCTTGCAAAAAGTGATGTTTCCAGGGAACCTTCAGTGAAATCAGACTGGCCTTCTTTTCCAGAGTCCACTTCTACAAAGGAAGCCTTTCAAGAGATATGCATGCCATGGTGGGGAAAGGGAAGGTTGGGCAAAACCTAGGAAATAACCCAGTGTACTTTAAAAAAAAAAAAAAACCCTGAATACAGACTGCTGTGTGTTCTGACATTTCCCTCTCCCTATCAGAATAGAAACGTTAAGCAAGAGGGAAATAAGCAGCCCCTTTCACTATAGTATCAGAAGGCAGAGGGAGAAATACTCATGAAGATGAAGCGGGGCCCAGAGGGCTTGCTGACACTTTCAGAAAGTTCTTAGAAATATAAATCTTGAGGGAGGACTAGGCCAGATGGACATCTTTGTTTTCTGTTTTATTTTCTGTAAAGTGGTGCTGTTGTTCACAAGAGAGATAGAAAAAAATAATTCTGCCTTCTCCAACCTGGAGCCCTCTGCTGCATAACTTTTAATCTGTACTAGTTGGGATATACCAGAATGGAGGATGATAATGAGCGAAAGAACACTATCTCTCAATATATTGCAAAAAATGAAAAGCAAGACCAAACTGAGTCCTACTCTTCTGAACTTACCTTTTTTTAAATCCTCTTCTTCCACCTGACTTAACACTACAAACCAATTAAGACACATTTTTAAGTCATATATTTTATTTAGTTTTGAGACTGCCTCATCCACTGCCTTGAAACGAAGCCATGAGACAACACCATCTACTGATATCCTAAACCGAAACACCAAAGTTAGATGTAGCTTATGTTTGGAAACAGGGCACCCATCATTGTCTCTACAATGTTCCCAGGCCTCTGCATATTTCTGAGTAGGAGCAAGGCAAGATCCAGCCAAAATTAAGCCAGCAGTACTTAAGATATATAAATAAAAATATACTATTGAAATCAGGCACAAATCTACAAATACTTCCATGTGACAAAGTTGAACTTATTTCTCAGTGAAAACTTTGAGATTGTACTGCTCAGTAGTACTCAATTATGATTATGTGCTGTGGCTCAACTACGTTTGTTGCACAATATTCATTTGGGATATTTTTGTGACCTTTAGACCGACCAGTTATCCTCCTTCCTTAGAGATGTGAGATAGATTGGATGATCCTTGCCTTCCTCTAGCCTCGAGGTGGATTTTTGACAAGAATCTTCTCTTAGGGTATTTATTTCAACATTCCAATGTTGTAGTTCAAGAAAAGCCTTCCGAGTCCCCCCCCAATACATCTCCAATGTGTCTGTCTGTCTGTCTGTCTTTCTCTCTCTTTTCGTTTTTACTGGCTATAGCACCTAACCATTTGACAAATCGGACACCAGTTTACCACTAGGAGCTTCGGAAGGAAGACAGACCTCGTTTCAATAGCTCCGCAAAAGAATCAGCAGGCACTTGCTGGATCCCAGCTGGGCCTCACCAGTGCTCCGTTGCATCGGGAGCAGAAGCTAATCAGCCACACATCCTATAATTGGGTGTGGGGCACAGTAAGACTTCCCGGATCCCGAATGATACACCAGCTAGAGTAGAGGAAAGCGGTAGACTAATACATAAGGAAGAGGTTAAGCTTTCGTTAATCAAACTTCGTCTGGGTCGTTTCTAAGCTTTTGACGAACAAAGAAAGGACGAGAAAAGCTTTTTCCTTCGCAGACCATACCGCGAATTCCATTTTTCAAATTTACTGCAGTCGGTAGGCTTTGTTCCACTAGTTCAACAAGATTCAGGCATCACAGTCATAAACGTACTTACTTGGAAGCAAGTCTCCTGAAAAACCTGTCTCGGTTCCTACCACTTCCTCCACATCAAATCCCACCACTACACTTGCTTCGGTGTATTTATAGGATCGCTCTGCCCGGCAAAGAGACGCTGCAGTCCCAGGCGTCTTTACCTGGCACAGCGGCCACACTGAACGTTAACAGTGATTCTTCACTACAGAAGCCTAAATAAACATCGTAGCAGCGGACCCGTCGCGGCAGAATGCTTCGATCTTTATTTAAGACTAAACGCGTCCGCTGGGAGAGCGAGACGTCCAGCCCCGCTTCAAGAGAGGCGCTGGAAAAAGGCGCACTTACTTCTTCCCTGTCGTCGGACTCTGGAAGGTTGCTCCTGGCCGCCAACGTATTCCATTAAGTTCCAAGTGATAAAGAACCAAGAAACCAGTCGCAATTGCATAGTAAACCCTGTAAAAGTTCTCGTCTAGTGTCCTTTGGGGAGAAGGAGGAGGAGACGCGGGGAGGGGGAAGAGGGTGCGGAAGAGCAGCAGAAATACCTGTCTCTGCGAAACGGCTCCCGATCTTCTTCTTTAAAAGAAAAAAAAGGGGGGAGGGGGAGAGTGGGGGGGGGAGCAAATTCTCGCTGAGGACGATCGATTAGCGTATTTTCCGACTGCCCCCACGGTGATCTCCTCCTGACAGTCTCGTCGAAAGGGTGGCGAGGAATGGCAGCAGCCCTGATAGGGGAGCGGTAGACCCGATCGACCGCAGGGCAGAGACCATGCTGCCGAAGGAGGGGGACGGGTTTGGGAGGGGGGCAGCGGGACGTGGGGGTCTAATAAAAAGGTGGGAGGGAGAGAGCCAGGCTTGCTCGGGGTTCACGCTCTGCTCCGGCTACGGGACGGCGGTCCCATTCGGGAACTCCATGGGCAGGTGTGCTTCCTCGCCTGGCGCTCGGGCGCTCACGCCCGTCGAAGGACTCCCGGAGAGAATCCCACATGGGGAATGGGGAGGAAGGGCTTTGGGCAGGTGAGGCGAGCGCCTCGGAAGAGCAGCCCAAAAGCTCCGGCTGGCCCTCCTCCTTCAGCGCCGAGCGCGTCCCAGGGCTGTCCCGAGAGCTGCTTCGGACATCCTGCCTCCTCACCGCATCTCCGGCAGGAAAGGCAGCCGCGCGGAATAAGCCGACTTAGCCCTGAGGAGGCGCGCTTTGCCCCTGGACGGAGGCGGCCCCGTTAGAAAAACGGCTCCATTCCAGCGGCACCGAAGTCAGGCCAAAAATCGGCGACCATCCCCTCCGCTCCGAAAGGCCGGCCGTGTGACACTCCGCTGGGAGGGATAAACTGCCTCGGCGCCGCGCTCGCTAGTCTCGGCCAGCCAGCGCTTCCCTTCCTCTCTTCCCTCCCCGGCTGCCCAGGGCCATTTTTGAAGCCCGCATTGTGGAAAGCCGACTCCAATAGGACGCGCGGCAGCTTGGGCGAGGAACTTCCAATCGGCGGCCGGCGGGCGGGCGGCTCTGCTTCCCGCCGGGGAAGGGAGGGGCGCAGGGCGAGGAGGGGAAAAGAGGGGAGAGGCGCGAGCGAGCGAGCGAGCGTGCCCGGGAGCCTCGCGCTCGCCCTTTGCCACTCCTTCTGCCTGGCGAATTGGCTTTCGCGGGAGGGAGACTCCGAAGTGGTGGCTCCACAGAGCGCCCCGGGCCACGTCCTCCCCCTTGTCCAGGACAATATTCGTTGAGGAAAGCCTTACTCGAGTTTTTAACTTGAGACCAGCAAACAGGGGAAGCTGTGGTGAATGACCTTTCATGTTTCAGAGACGCCTTTTGTCCTGCACAACATTAAAAGGAATTAAAGAGGGAGGGAACAGAACAGAAAATGTCTGATACAGCAAGTCAGGCTCCTGGTCTGTTTTGTTCCGAATTATCTCCTTTGCTGTGACAGGGATCTCTCCAGAATATCTTAAGAGGGGAGATCATTCCCAACCGTATCTGGAGATTGAAAATGAAGCCGCGGTATGGTCTGCTAGAAGCTCGGTCAGCTAATGTGAGGATAACTTAGAACAGTTGATTTTCTCTCTCTCTCTCAGATTAGGGAGAATAAGCTGAACCCATTGCAAAGTATTTCACGGGGCAGCAGAACAGATAGTAACATAAGGGTAATGGATACTTTGCTCTGCAAATGTAAAAGTAAGCGGTCATTGATTTGTTCTAATGACTTTGTGACTTACTGAAACTCATCCTCCCTCCTAATATAGAAAAAGTGCCTTTGCAAAAACAGTTTAAATTATAAAATCTTGATAACGGCTAGAGACGTGGCTAACATTTTATTCTAGCAGCTGCCATCTTAGTTTTTATCATATGTTTGAAAAGCAGCTCTGTGTTTAATAGGGCTTTGTGAATGTTCAAAAGGATTGTTTGATCTGGAGAAAATTCAGTCCAATTTCTCCTTCCAATGAATCTTGAAATCAAATCTTAGAAGTAATGCAAAATGCTGAATCAAACAAGGAACTAGAATTGCAAATGATTTGGATATTCAATGGATTTTCAGGGTTTCTAGAGCTTCAGATTGTAAGTTTCCTTCTCTATATGAACCAAGTTGGCAGAGAATGCTCAGTGTTGTGCTGGGTTGCCTGATACTGATACTGAACTAAGTTGCTGGTCAATGAGTTTTATTACCTCCACAAATCCTACCTATCCATCTTTATCAAACATTTTTGTCTCTTGCTCTTCTGATAGAATTTGTTAGGCAGGTTTCCTTGAGCAGGGAGAAGCCAGAGTCAGATTTATTCTGCTGCTTTTTGTGCTTCTGTTGTGATTCTCTAACTCTCCCCACATTCACAACCTGTTAACCATATCATTCTTAACTTTGTCTGACATAATATAGTTCTACTCTTACGGTTCTTCAGCTCTTTCAATTTCAAGAACTTATGGTTCTTCAGCTCTTTCAGTTTTTTCTACTATTACACCCTTTCCTTCTCTCTTAAAAATGGTCTTTTTAATTATCTTTTTTAATAATTTAATTGAAACAGATTTGTGATATTTGCAAAACACTTTAGATACAACTTTCCTGCTTTTCTCAGTTTGTTACAAAGAATGTGTAGAAAGTGAAGTTACAAGTTTAATTTCATATAATATAATTGCTCTCTGTGATATCCTAGATAGTTGGCCCCTGAGTAAAATTATCTACTTATCAGAATTTTGTTAAGATAGCAAAGCTGGTATTGTTTGGAGTTTCATTTACTTTCTTATTACTTTCTTAAAATGACCAACCCACAAGCATTATCTTGACTTTCTTTGTGCAGACAGAAGGTTACACTTCTATGCTTGTCCTGCAAACACAACTAGAAGTTCAGCCCTGAAAATGGGACCAAGGCCGACCAGTCTAGTATCTGGTCAGTTCATTAGGTTTATAACCTGGCTTTCTTCTAGAGTACAAGATTACTTATGTAAATATTTTATTTTATTTTATTTTCTACCTATAACAGCAACTCTGTAAGGTAGGGTGGCCCAAGTGAGAGGGAACAGTCCAAAGTCACTCACTGAACTTCTAAGGCTAAGATGGACTTTCAGCCATCTTTCACCATGATTTCCTAGTCTTGGTCCAATATTGTCATCAGCACTCTTTCATAAGTGGGGCAGGCTTAAATGTTCTGATATGGAAGCCAGCCTGATTACGGACTCTAGCTCAAACAGTTACTTTTTCTGAAACTGTGAAAAATGATTCTATGGATGTCATAGTCTCCATGGCATCCTATTGTATGATGGCATCCTATTTTTATTTTTTAGTTTTGCTAATAAGTGTAAACATTGTGAGCAACTCACAATCCTGACTCAGTTGCCAAGCTTTGCACATGTATTTTACATAGTTTTACATCCAATCCAAGCCAACAGTGAGGCATTAAGCCATTATTTGAGGCAGAAAAGCTGTACTCGCCCATCAGCAAGTCCTTAGGCATTCTTCAATACCATGCCACATTTGGAAAGCTTAGTGAGAATTTTTTTTAAAAAAAAACCTACCATATTTTTTTCATTATTTTTTAATTAGAGTAGGATACTTTCTGCAGTGGTGCAACACTATTTATAGGGACTTTATTGAATTATCTGGAATGGATCCTCTTTCCTCATCCTTGCTATCTCTGCCTTAAAGGAGGTGTTGTTTTAAACATTATTTCGATGACACCCAGGGCAAAATTGTGCAGTGTTAATGCCATCTGCCAGTTTTATCCCATCGCATGGAGGGGGAGGATACCCACATTTTGAGCCTTTTTGTGTCTTAGTCTAAGATCAAAATAGGCTATTCTATCAATAGAATATATTGGTTCAAATAGATTCTTGTTTTTAGATCAAATTTCTCTGAATCTTGCCACCTTTGAAACTAAAAATTCACATTCAGATAGACTTGTGTAATTGTTATATCTTTAATTTTTAGGTAGATCCAAAATTTTAATGTCATCTGCATATAATTTAATACTTCATACTTCATACACATAAGTCACTATTAATAGACTTGTGATAGACTACTGAATAAGTTAAGTTTTCCCTTTTCCATCACAACATCTCCATGTTTCTGCTTGGGAATCAAACATAAAACTCCTAGCATGCCAAATGGTGACTAGCTGTCAGTCTTTTCAGCTTAAAAGTTTTGCTTACAGGACATTTAAGTTTGGGACAACAGATTTTAAAAAGAAAGCAGAAATAAAATATTTTCATGTGCATTCAGTGGTGTGTAGTTATGTTTCTTGTCCTTATAACTGGGCTGAAAAATAACTTGGTTGTGAAATTAAAATTTAATTTTGAAATTCTTAACTTAAAACCAAAGGGTAATATTTTCATTACAACCTGCACGTCATTAAAAACTTCTACAATAGAGGATGGAAGAACTACTATACATCTTAGTAATTGGTATATTGAAATTGTATGGGAAATATTGGAGGAAATGCTTCTAGTATAAAGGTGCTCTTTAGCAAAAGCTGGTCCTAAAACATTTTTCGATCCTATGTGCATTTATTTGGAAGTAAAGCTTACTGAGGTAAAAATTGTATTGTTGAATCTTTTGAAAGAAAAAGCTAATGATTAACTTAAGCTTGGTTTATTTCAATATAATTTAGTCAGAACTGTGTTTTTTTTTTCTAGGCTAGGCTGCATTTTATTTGCAGTCCAGATTGTCCAGAAATGAGGGTTTTAATTGTCTCCATCTTTCTTATTGAGAATATTTCATCTAACTAATTTCATTTTCATGGATAGTATAATTCATGCATTTTTAAAGAAATGAATTAAAATCACATTTATAGGTGGTTTCCCCCTTCATTAGAAATGTACGTTTTTGTGAAACAAAGTCACTGTCTGAAAACTAGAAAAAAGTATCTGTGCCGGCTCATTAATATTCAGTTAATGCAACAGAGTCAGAACAGTCACCAAAAGTAGAAGATTGCTTTATAAATCAATGGGATTACTGTTTCTAATCCTCAATTCATTGATTCAGAAGTCACACTGATTTTAACCCCTTTCCTTATTTAGCAGACTGGTCTAGTTTTTACATATCAATATTTATTCAATTAGTATTTTTGCAAATAAACAATAATATTACTTCTCTTTTACCTATAATCAACATGCTTCCATTAAAAAAAAATAAGATTATTACTGACCACACTTAAATAATACAGAAATCTTTCAGTTAAATTAAGTGCATCTTTAGAATTCTGCTTTCTCCTTTTTGTTGTATTGACAAATATCTCTGTCAAAAAAATATAATGGATTTAAAGTTCTGTGGGAGATTTTATTTGAACGGGACTCCAGGGAAAAACCTCCTAATCCAGTTTACTAAGACAGATGGGAAGGGAGCACAGGGTAGATATAAGTAAATAGCAATTCAGCCTATGAATTGTTAGTTTTGACCATAGGGATGGTGTTAATAGAGAAGCAAAATAAAAGGCAAAAAAAGTGTACAGACCAGTCAACTCAAAGCAAACCTGGGCAGTTCAGCTGCGTAAATGTTAAAGATGGATTTTGAAGAACTATAAGGAAAACATTATATATAGAGAGAACTTTCACATTAATGACAAGGTATTCTAGACAAACTTCACCCAAGGATGTTGCAGATACTGTTTTATTGTATCACTGTTTATACACAACATTTAATAACTCAGATGACACAAAAGGCTTTTGAAGTGTGTTCTGGATTCACAAAACGCAGGATTCAAAAAAAAAAAAAGTTAAAGGTAAATACAGTTTAAATGACTGGCTGTCTCTAGAGCTCAGAGAATTATTTGCTGGATATTGGTCAGGGTATAGGAAATATATTTAAGTGATCAGAAAAAACCTCAAAACAATAATTTAAAATTAGTAATTGTCTATTAAAAGGAAAGTTGAAAATATTTTACACTTTGATATTACTATTAAAATCAGTACTGTTGAACAAGACTAACATAATATTCAGCATGATGTCCATCTGAATAAAATAATGCTGGCTTTCTATGATCTGTATTAATCTTTGCCATAGGGACTGAATGCTAGTTGGTACACATTTCCACACATATAAATTCACAACTGTACACATGTCAAGGCATATATATCAAGATTTTTTTTACAGACAATCCCGTAGCAGACTTACAGTATGTACTTTTCTTCAAAAATAGAAAGAATATTACTCTAATATTCTTGGGGAAGAATATAGCTGTAATATTGGGGGAGATTTT